CGAATGGAAAAGTTGATGCGAGAGTTTGATGTTGAGTCTGCTGGCCCCCATGTCGTTGAGCCACTGAGCCGTGCGCGACCCGGTCTTTTGTTGTTTTAGGGTTTTATTTCTTCTTGATTGTACACAGAGGTAGGAGATTAGACTTTGCCCGTCTTCGCCCTTGATGTTGGGCTGGTCAGCATCTTGCTGCTCGCACATCTTGTCTATTGCACGAGTCTCCAGCCTCGACAGCGAGCTCGTTCATTTCCTCGTAAGTGCCATGATGAGGATTGCGACTGAACTACGGCAGAGAGTCCGAGAGAAAAGTGTCCTCGCTGGCAGGCCAGACATCACGAGGGATGACGGCGACCCAGTCTTTGATCATCGGCCAACCGAAGGAGCTGTCTTCGTCGACAATTAGGTTGAGGCCAGGGAAGTGATAGAAGTACAAGCTTGACGTGTAGTGATGGATCATGGTAGCGGTGTCGTACGAAACATGGATGTTAGAGGCATCGATATCGATGGTTAGATGAGTGAGGGATTTGAGGTTGGTCAGGGTATGCTCAAGCTGTGGACCTGAGACTTGTAGGCCCGGCTCTTGCTGTAGGCCGTTTTGGCAAATAAAGCTGATGTCGAATACCTCTAGGTTTCTGAGACCGGCTAATGCCCGGAAGTCAGACTCCATGATTCTCAGCCCCTGCTCGATGCGGATGACGAGCTTTTTCAACTTGCGTAGACTACCAATCGTAGCGAAGGTTTGAGAGTTCAGATCAAACTCCCAGTCCTCTGTTCGGTTCTCCAAAGTCCTGTTCAAGGACTCAAGGTTGTCGAGACCCTCAAGTAAGAGGCTAGGAACTAGTCCAGTGCCTCCAGCGAAGACGACATCCAGGTGGCGGACATTCTGTGGCTTCTTGTCCATCTCAAGTGCGTCGACCGTGGCCAACGTTAGTTTGTAGTCTAGCACGACAGTTCGCAAGCGCGGCAAGCAGAGGATAATCCTCACAACATCGTCATTCAGTGCTCTGTTGACCGCTTGACCGAGTCTAAGCTCCCGAAGACGGCTCATGGATGCGAAGAACTTTGGCAGGACGTCAGGACCGACATCAAGCTCGTGCTCAAGGTGAAGAGATTGTAGATTGATGCAGACTTGGGTCATGCGTGACATCCAGGTATCGTCAAAGGAGAGCTGAGTGTTTGGGGCCGGATCCTCGTCCTCGCTCCAAATAACAAAGCGTCTCAGGTTCGAGTGCAAGAAAGGAATCAGGTCGCCAGGTTGATTGTGGCGAAGAGCTGTGTCGAAGAGCTCAATGTTCTTCACCCGCCTGAAGATAGGACGCTCTGCACGTCTGGTGTTCCAGAACTTCTCATGGCTCCAGAATTGTAGATTTTCGATGAAAGTTGCGTACATGGTACGTCTCGAAGATGAGCGCACGAAGCTGAGACGGTTTGGCTCTGCTTCCGACCAAAGTGAAGACGCACCGGAACCGAACCATGCCTTGCTGACCCTGCACAGACTGGAAAGAGTTTTGTGGTCGTCGCGAAGATGGTTGGCAATCATATTCTTGAGCTCCCTGGGGAGCAACTTCCCGCATGGGTTGATGTTGACCACGGGATTTGAAGTAGAACGTATGATCGGACGTGTGTTTGATGCGCTGCAGAGTGAGATCAGCCATCTGGACATACGATATGAGAGGTTGGAGGAGTTGCGCTTACTTGGTGACCTGTTGATTACGCTGTGGACGTAAGACGGTAAACTGTCGCGATCGGCTTGTGGTTGGCGAGGATTGTTGCTTGTACGAGCTTTCAGACTCATCAAGGGGCTTGCGTATCTCTTGGGGAGCGCCATGACCGACTCACGTCTGGACCACGGCAGGGGGTCAGGACGAATTGTGTAGACATCATGTGGGATGAAGATGAGACCAATTCAGTCGCTGACGGTCGGCTAGCCGAAGACGCTTTCTTCATCCATGTTGAGCTTGAGACTGGGAAAGTGGTAGTATACCAAGTTCGTGGTGTAATGATTAATCAGATTGGCATCTTCGTAAGAGACGAACAAGTCAGGGGCGTTGATGTCAAGTGTCAGATGGGTGAGTTTTTGAGGCTGGCGAGAGTCTTGATGAATTGTGGACTGGAGATCTGGAGACAAGGTTCTTCCTGGAAGATGTTGTAGCTGATGAAGCTGATGTCGAGTACCCCGAGCTTCTTGAGATCGACCAAAACACAGAAGTGGGCCCCCATGATTCTGAGCTCGGATTCGATATGTAATGGTTGATTACAATGGCATTGTCATACCAGCCGGTCATATATGTGGTACGAACGTATACATGTTCTTGATCGAGCATATACAATCACTCGCTCTGGTTCGTTCCCATCGACCAGTATATAGAGTGAAAATATGGACGACAAGATCAGAGTGCCTTCCATGGAAGGTCACAGAGACCTCGGCCGCCAAACTGCTGCAGAAAACATAAAAGGTTTGGTGCACCATTACTCAAAACGTAATGGGCTAGATTATGTATTCAGCAACTGCCGCCATAGTAGCGTCTAAGCTCTTATGAGAGTGAGCAGATAGCAAGACGTTCAAATGAAGTCATGACTTGAAGCAAAAGTAAAGAGCAGGAGCAGCGAATCTGATTCTGTCAGGTTGACAGAACTGATGTCTTTATGTACATTTTTGAAAACAAAGACCTACACAGCAAGCATGTTTATGTTTGCCGCTATCAAGATAAGAGACGGATGGAAGCATTAGGATCTTTGTCACGGGTTGCAGCAATCATTGTCACCAAAACAAGCAAGCCTCAATCAATGATGTGTTTCCCATTGAAAATTGGCCAAGCGACCGTATTGCAGCCATTCGAGGAATATCGACAAAGTCCTGGCAATTAAGGACGCTTCAACCCTTGTGAAAACTACATACACTACAGCATCACAAGCTTTCCGCATCATGGCAGCAATCAGGATGTTAGAGCACGAATATGCCACATTGCTGGTAGAACGATTCTCAATGCCATACAATCAGGCCTTGTGCGTGAAGGAGTGAGGCTCTTCGTAATGTGGAAATTAAACCCGAAATTACTCCGTGGGCGAAGCTGCCTCCTGCCTGGCTCCCTTCGCTTGTTATCCCTCACAATCTCTGACTCATTGGTCTGCACTATATCTACATCTCTTCCGCTCATAGTTGCTAAACGAAGTCAACAACTCGATCATTCTATTAATGGCTTCCTCAGCACCTCAAGAGATACTATGCCTTATCGCCCACCACCTGGCACAATTGGACAAGAAACTATCACCTTACGCGCTGGTCAACAAGGCTTGGCAAGCCGCTTTCGAGAGACTGATCTATTCATCAATCGTCGTGCGTAGTCCATCTGATGTGGCTACTGTCAAAGTTAATGAGCCCTCATGGACTGCACCCGGCGGGCCACACCCGAAACATGGACTTCCGCTGGAGACTCTCATCAACATCACTACTGGGCCGCATGATTGGCAGCGAGCTCGGCGTATATATGTGCGCCAGATCACCTATAGGGTCGCAGTCCCGTACTGGTTGGACGACCGACGTGGANAAGATGACGGCTACACTTATGACAACTTTTGTCGGCGTGAGAACGATCAAGCATTCTCGAAAGGCGTATATCAATTATTCGAGCATCTTTCGACTTGGATCAATCAGGCAATCTCCCTACAGATAGCCTTACAGGCAGAAGATGCTTCCACTGAGGACGAGAGTGGTGAGCCAAAGTCAATACCGTGGTGCAATGAAGACGATATTGCTCCGTATTGTGCAGAATTTGTGCCCGGTTATGCTTTGCCGCCTGCATCCTGCATCACCTCACTGGAGTTTCTTGAGCTCGAGACTCCTGAAACGATATGGTACGAGTCCGGCGCACTAGACGTGGAATGTTTCGAAAACAAGATTTCTCTGCCTGCTCGCTTGAGCATCGCATCAGCGTGCAGCGCTCTGAAGAATATCTCATTGGACCGCGGAGATGATCTCCTCTTGACCGAGCCCAACATGCGTTCCACTAGGCGAGCCGCGGCCGCCGAAGGATTTTCTCAGCTTCCGCGAACCATCAAAAACATGACCCTGTGCGGCACCTCGACCTCGGAGGCAGACTTCAGACAACCGAACGAAAGCGCTGAACAAGACCCGATGCGCACGGCGCTCCAAGAGTTCTCCACGCAGCTACAACACCTGCATATAAAGCATCTAGAGGTTTTTCCGGAGCTCTTTTGCCCCAATGGACTAGGACTACCAATTGAAGCACACTGGCCATACCTTGAGACGCTTCATATGAAGAATCAAAACTGGTGGAACGCGCCTTTTGGCGGCGTGGTAACATATCCTGGAGGTATGCACCTAGAGCCATATCTCAACGACCTCTTCACATGCCTTGGCCACGCCGCGCAGAAGATGCCGAGCTTAAAGAGTCTTGTCCTCACCTTTGAGCACCTTGATCAAGAGCTCGAGTTGTCAAACAAGAACGGACACTGTAATTTGACGCTTTGTGTGATGGACAACTATCAGCCATCTCCTGAATGCCTTAAAGCATGGAAAGTGCCTGGAGGAAGCTTACAGCCTTGCGTGAACAAATACTGGCGACAGGCTACATATCCATCGTGGCCGCCTTCTTGATTTGTCAAATTTTGGATAACCACTAAGCACCAGAACACTTGAGCAGAATCAGAAGTGTAGCAAGAGAAAGAGGACATAAGGGTGTAACAAAATATTGCCAAGCGCTAAAGCATCAGTATGCTTTCCCACAATTCTCCTAGTCATCTATGACACAGCACTCGCAAGAATCTGAGATGGTCGTAACCAGCGAAGTTCACTCTTGCATGGCATCCAGTAGTTTTAGCCTTCACGTGCATATGCTGGCAACCAGATATACACACAAATGTTTGCCAAGCTCTTAATCCTTCCCGCATTGTTTGTCCAGTGACTTCCTCTCTCCACCACTTCCAAACCTTGACCACTTGCCAGACATCACCCTTCGCCCAAACTACAACTGACACCAGCGCTGGTCTCACAATATGTTACCATTAATTGCATACCCAGTGGAACCGCTATCGCCTGTTTTCGGCAGCCCGACTGCGCGAGCAAAGTGCGTATCGGCCCATCTCCAATGAACTGAAGCCATCCACTGACCTGTTCCANGTTTTTGTGAAGAAGAGTTTATCATCACAGGTTTCATTGCTGAGTTCGTTAATATGCTCAGCAATGTTGCGTATAGTATGACTTTCCATATGGCGCGACATCCGGTGATCTGCTGATAGCGTTTGCAGNTCGTGTACGCTATCCGGGCGCTTCGCCGAATGCCGAAGCATACATCTNTTGCTGCTAAGAGCATTTACTATGATCTAGCATTTGTCGGTATCTGCTCAAGTTTGTTTCACGGTTTGTTGAAGTATCACGCGCAGATGGGTCAGTTTATGATTATCTCAAACTTCGCGATATCGACCTACTGACAGCACGATGTCAAAGCCGATGATACATCCATGATTGTCGCGACATGGATTGTTCTCCACCGCGCAATGACATATTAGCGCAGCGCATCCCACACCCGCTCGTTCACTGTTCTGCTAATCCTCGCCGTCATCGCAGAAATAGCATACCACACCATCAAAGACGAGCGAATGGTCCACGAGCTTAGCTTTGTGCTACTCATCATCATGGTGGCCNATCAGACACGTTCTCTGATCAAACTTCGCGTGCACAACGCAAAAGACAAGCGAATGCTGCAAAACGCGACCATTCTCGGTGCAGATATGTCTACGCTCTGATTTCCCCTTAAGGATTACGAAATTGGTCTGATGTCCCTGTTCTAGNGTTTTTTCGTCTTTGGCCACCTCCTCTGGCAGCTCGACTTTATCTTGTGCACTCAACTCACAGCACTAAAGCGCAGAGTAGGCATACCTTGGGGCTTTATGTTTGAGTTGCATGGGTGGTGGCATGTTTTGACTGCTCCTGGTGCGCATACTTTTATGATTATGGTTGACGAGCTCACGCGTGATGAAGTCGAGTTGAGGTATCTCCGGGAAAGTGGCGAGAAGCATGCTGAGAAGCAAGAGTAGAAAGCAAAACTGAGTTAGGGGTGCCCTGCACGCACGAAAGTTTGGGAAAAACATCAGAGGCGCCAGCTGGTTGGATTGTTCCAACCAAGTTCACTTCCATAGTGGACCAAGCAGTGATGTAAGGAACTCAACGCAAATCGGAAGAAGGTCAATGAAGGGGAGCACGGGGTGCAGAGATGTGAACAAACATACATCCCCCTGAAACCAAGTCACCGTGAATGAAGGGCAGCGCTGACAATGATCTTATCATACATTTTCTGCCATGAGAACTTGTTGAACAAGAATGTTTTTGAACCACAATGACACAAAGGGTTGCTATGGGGGTTCGATCTGTTCAACATTCTGCTCAAACCTGTCGAATCTCTGCGCAGAAAGCATTCCTAACGATGAGCTATAGCGATTCGTAATTGATAGCCTGGCGCTCAACTGGGTTTGTGGTACGAGCTTGAAATGCTCGACGGCATGTTTCCTTCATTGAGAAGCTCAAGGGTGGATCCTCAATGGTCGAATGGCCACAATTCCTCCCACTCTTTTGTGCTGCTTTGTTAGTGGGTGAGTGCTCACGAAACCTTTCCTTCAAGCTAGCCAACATCATCTTCACTTTGTTATAGTCTTCTGGCTTGACGGTCCAATCCTCTGCGACAAGACCGCCAAGTTCCCTTCGAACTTTTGCATGATTTCTTCCTTCCGTCGATAGAAGGTTATCTGTTGCTCGAAGTCTTTCGAAAGTTTGGGAATAGAGAGCTCTGGGTCGTCTTCGAGCAGCTCGGCGATATCTGGGCGTTCGTATTGAATGTACTCGATGGCGCTTGAGAGGAAAGAGACCCCGTCATCCCTAACGATGTTATGGGCACTCCCGAGGAGTCGGTGTTCAGGCATTTTCTTGAACTGCATTGCCTGCAATATGTACTTCATGGGTTTTGGTTCCAAGCGAACATATACATCGTAAACAGTTTCGGTCGATGGCGCCGAGTCAACCCTGCCGTCCGACGTCAGGAACGGGGGTTGGTTAAGTTGCCTATATTTGGGCACAACCTCAGCATTCTGCCAGTCTGCGAGGCTCACGATCTTTGTGGGCGAGTTGGGGTCGACATAGACTGTGTCGGCTGTAATGTTGGGCTTCCAGAGGCTTGGTAAGAGAAGCGAGTTGGCTTGCGGTGTGATATATGGCAGAATGGCTTGGTACAGCCTGGCAGCTTTCATCCTTGAATCAGGAATACGTCCAGACGACCCAGAAAGATGTGCTCTTGAAGATCCAGGCAAATCCTTGAGCTCAGCCATAGCAGTCACAGACTTGAGATAATGTTTGTCCGAGTTCCCTAGCACATTCTATCAGGATCAATGGTACAATCTTGATGGTAGAACTCACAAGGTCCAGTTGCCTGGTGGCTGAACAGCTGCCCACGAAGACTCATCTCTTTGACCTTTGCAGGTACAGGACCAACCACTAGCCCTGAGAGATAATTTTGACGTCGTTCAAGTGCTTTGTTTGAGCTAAAGGATCGGCTCTGCAAGTCGTTTGCCCGTCGAGCTGCTTTGAATGTGGGTTGCTCCATGCTGAACGGGATCGAATTCCCGACAATCTCTGCAACATCTTTCTCGCAAAGACCGCCAAAGCCAGGATACTTGAAGTCCGACCATCTCTTTACGTAGGATATGTCAGCTCGCATAGCCTCGTGCTGGCTTGTAGAGTCCATCTGATGCCAGACAGAGCGCAGAGGTACACCCCGAGGAGCGGCAGTGAGTATGAACGGAGAGCCAACATCCGTTCCCCCTGCTCGATCCGCAGCTACTTTGGCTCTGAGCACAGGCACATCAACAATACGATTCATCTGGAAACAATGTCAGCTTCAGGCCTGTACCATACTTGCTTCATTCCCAGCTCACAAGTTTCAGAGTTGTCGTCTCGCAAAATGTCGTCGCTCTGGGGATTCCCGCTTCTGTGTTTGGTAATTTTGCCATCCATTTTGATCCATCGTCAAGATCAATCACATAAGTCTTGCTCCATTCCCCCTCCAGTACTTTGTCTATGTTGACAGCAACAGCTCCCTCGGCTCTGGCACACTTGGCGACTACGGCACCCAACGCGTTAACGTAAAACTTGACTTTCCGTTTGGCCAATCCGTCTTTCTCGTTGATCAGAAAACGTCAATCGGTGTAGTTGTAAAGCTCCCCGTGTTCAAGATCAACTAAACGTATCAGTCAATTGTACAGAGACATGACACAGTCCCGGATACCTTCTTCAGGATCCACAGGCAACGACAAAAACCTTCTGCTTGGCGTACCCAGAATCCGTGACGGGCGCCATTGTCTGCCAGTCGTCACCAGATATTGGCCTGGGAAGCTCAAAGACGCTTGATAGTGCCGCAAGCGGACGGCCATGGTGGGTTTTCGGGAAGGATGTCGCAAGGGAACAAAGCCAGACGTTGGCAGATTCGGTAATTGCTTGACGCCGCGCTCGGACCGAGTTATGACTCGAGCTCCTACGTCATGCGATATGTATGTTGGCTGGAGCACCCTGCTCATGCTGGTAGTCGTTCATGATAGACACTCCTTCCCAGGACAGATCATTGAGAGCATAACACACACGATAAGGTAGCTTGTGCGGCTTTTTGCGCTTGCTCTGCAAGTATCGTTGTGAAAGGAGCGACCAGTGTAGTATTAGCTTGATATTCGGGCAAAAGCTTGGTAAAATTTCCTGCATGATGCCACTGACTTGTTTGATAACTCAGATACAATTTGACACTATTGCGAGGGGAGACAATACCAAATTCATTGCAAGAACGAAGGACTTCAGTTAGCAGCACCTCCGACCTTCATCCAACATTATCTTCCATGATATTCTTCACAAAAAAAGCAAAGCCACTCTAAGCAACATAGCCGCCATATGTGTAGTAGAAGCCATGGAAGATGCTTCTTCGTAAAGTTGTTTAGAGCTTGCTCTAGGCAGCTTCAGCTTCGGCCTCGGCAGAGCGGGAGTATGCACCGTAGCTACCATAGTCGCCGTACGAGGGGAGATTGGCGCCAGCGTCGGGTGGGATGTTGTTGTCCGCGGCAGGCTTTGGCTCTGGCCCTAGCTATTAGTTCTTGCTCTTGTTTGAGATGCTGGTTTGCTTGAATGGTACCTGGATACGACCCATAGTTCCCATAGCTTCCATAGTCGCCGTAAGATGGGAGATCGGCGCCTGGAGCTGCGCGTTCTTCCAAGGCCTCGGCTTCGGCCTCGCGAGGGTAGGAGTTGTAGGTGGCGTATTTGCCATAGTTTCCGTACTTGCCGTAGTTGCCGTAATTGCCGTAGCCAGGGGCAGGAGCAGCCTCTGGGATGGGCGTAGCCAGTACCGCAGCTGCGAAGATGGAGACCAGAGCGATCGAGTTCAGCTTCATGGTGGTGATGGTAGAGTTGAGTGTGATATTGATCAAGTGATATCTGTATGATGATCGAGATTTGGTTGTCGTGTTGATGAAACGTGATTCAAGCGGAAGATGACCATACTTATATAGCTGAGACATCGATTCAGGGTGGTCGTATTCGATTGAGTTGTTGGTGAGATACCCAGAACTGAGCCAGACGACATCAAGACATATCGAGTAAGCAAGTACATGCGCTTGAGCAAGGCTGGCACCACCGAGACAACTTCTGGTTGTCCTAGGTCTTTGATCGCGGAGACAAGCAGAGCTCATGAAGTCTGACTGAATCCTTTGCCTTCACATCCGTGGACTGAGCTCTTGCGGCAAGCTTACACGCATGGTACATTGAGCAAATTTGACATCAAAGGGACTGCGCATGTTATCCAACCGACCAGCATCGCGGACTCACCTGGCTTGGAATCTGACCTCAAGCTTGTACGGATCACTACAGTCTGAGTGAGCGTGGTCCGAGAAAAGGAATAATTATGACTAGCGACCGGATGGAACATGATTCAATTGAGATTGAATTGTGGCCTGAGGGTGTGGTATGATTCAAGCTTTCTCACTCGAATATGGCGGCCATGTGGAGTAGATCGGGGGCAGCTGGTCGAAACTCAACGTGGCGTCAAACAAACTTCAGATGCGACCCCGCTTCCTTCGTGATGATACCACCGATCACGGTAAGTCGACCACATGCGAGTATGTGTGGCATGATGAGACATCTTATTTCTGAGCAAGCGTTCGTCAGGCGGACGATCTTCGGTGCGCTTCATGTCAGGGCTGAGAATGATTATAAGTCAGTAGCGACAACCACAACACATGTGCAGCATCACGATCCAATATCGAAAATCAGCAAGAAGCAACTATCGAATTATACTTGTGGCCCAACATGACAAAATCTGAGGCCTTGTATCGTGTCGCTCCGTCAACAGATACTCTCGATCATCTCGAAATCGAACAGAATCCACCACGAAGATACACAACCCTTCATCGCGCACTCTCGGCCGACCGCTTTATCACAACATCTTTGGCTGCTATCTGTTTCTTCGGTCTCGCGTTTGGTCTGGGAGTTGTGACTACGCTGGCATGGACATCCAAACACTATCCGGCATCGTATTGGTTGACAAGAATGGAGGAGATGTCCCCAATGACGCCAGACATCCCACTGTCATATCACGAACAGCGATTCAATGGCTCGCTACTCAAGGAGACCATATACAGACAAAATGCAAGCGAAGAGGTTGACAAAGCATGGCAAGCACTGGGAATTGATTGTAGGTGGTCCAAAGTTTCTTACATCTAGGTTCGACACTAACGAATACACAGACCGAAGTGTGGTTGTACCGGCAGAAGTAGCTGGCAAGATTGGTATCGCAGATGATCAAGTCAAAATATCATCCAGACATGGTGGCGGTTATGTCGCAAATGTTGAAGGTTTGCATCAGCTTCACTGCTTGGTCAGTCTTTCTTGATCAATCCGTCTGAGATCTACTCATTTCGTAATTCCAGAACCTTTTACGACAATCGCTATGGTTCAATTACGACTACTACGCTCGAAAAGGACAAGGCGCTTTCAAGAACAACGAATATATCCTTCAGAAGCACGTCAGTAAGTGCAATGAATGGAGACCAGCAGACACACTTTCTTCGCTGCTGACTTGAGACCAGCTCACTGCCTGGACATACTCCGGCAACAATTGATGTGCACAGTCGACATTGGGGTTCTCGGACAGGTGTGGTGGCAAAGCAATTCGATGGCTTACCCTGAAGCCTATGTTGACTTCAATACTCGCCACATCTGTCGGAATTTCGAAGACGTACGCATGTGGGCGGAGAAGCATCAGGTCCCTGCAGAACCTATTCCAGATCTTCTGGAGCCTCCAGGGCCCAATGATAGAGTATATCATGAGCTACCTTAGTCTTGAGCCACATTGGCGCACAGGCAGTCTAGTATGACAATTGAAGCAATGCCGGACATTCAAAGGTCGGGACTTCGCCTCTCAGAGCATCATCAACATCCCGAATTGTGCAATTGTTGGGAACAATCTTCCGGGGACAATGATCGGTCTTGTGAACTTCAAGCTGTTCCCAATGATCTTGAGTGCAACGTATGAATCGAAATCAACAGAAGTCGTATAGAGTGTCTCAGATCCTTTGTTGCTAGTAAAGTGGTTGCCGCTCTAAAGTGGTTGACTCATGGTAGACTAAGCTTCCTGGATTCGCGGCCGAGAATGGAAGAGATTCGCGGACCAAGCGTTTGAACATGTGGATCAGGTTGGCTTCCAAGTTCCAACTGTTCAATTGTGGGGGAACGGGTGGCCTTACGATAAGAGGAAGCACTCGCCGTCGAAATCCTCAATTAAAATGACTTACTGCCTTAGGAAGGTGACACCATTCGCAGATGGACCCGGAGATTTATGGCGCCATGCCTCGATATCTGGAGGATTCGTTGAGGCCAGATGGTCAGCTTGATCAGACCACCACTGCTTCGGCACTTGTTCCAGCTTGATCAGACCACCACTGCTTCGGCACTTGTTCCAGGTCTGTCTACATAAGTCCCCGCTTGACCTCTATCGCAATCAGTTGTGTGTACCTCACGCAATTCTTCGATCTGGTCGCGGCAGTCGCATTCTGTCTTCGCCTGATTCTGCACTGGTTCTTTCTGCACTCTCAGCTCAGGATACGTGGCGACAGCGGTGAGCGAATTGAAACCAGTCGTAAAACGCATCCCTTTGCCTGGATCCATCTTCAAGATGCAGCTCTCAGAGTATGACCTGATCATCGTTGGCGCTGGCACTTCCGGCTGTGTGCTGGCAAACCGCTTGTCAGAAGACCCGAACGTGTCAGTGCTCGTCCTGGAAGCTGGAGAGAACCGCAGTGATGACGAACGTATCTACACGCCCGGTCTAGCAGGCGGCGTCTTGGATGATCCCGAGTTTGATTGGCAATATGTTTCGGAGCCATCTCCCGGCTTGAACAATCGACCCATGAAGCACCCTCGTGGACGCGCTATAGGTGGCAGCAGCGCGATTGACTCTTTGGCCATCATCTATCNNCCTTCAGCTTCAGACATCAATATTTGGGCGGAACTCGGAAACGACAATTGGGATTGGAAAACACTTGCGCCATATCTCCACAAGTTTCAGACTATTGTGCCGCCGAACGAAGATGTCAAGAAGCAACTGAACATCATCCACAGCGACGAAAGCATTCGGGAATCGGATGGACCAATTCAAACTGTGTTCCCATCACGAGTCACGGCACTTCATGAGACCTGGATCAACACTTTCCGCGCTCTGGGCCTTGAGAACGTCAGCGATCCATTGACTGGACACGCCATTGGTGGGCATACCTCAACTTGCCATATCACTGGAGATCGTCACGAGCGCAGTCACGCAGGAGTGGCATATCTGGATCCCATTCTTGAACGTCCAAACGTGACAGTACTCAAGCATGCACTCGTTCATAATCTATTGATCGAGACAGACAGCGCGAGACCAATTGTCTGTGGCGTTCAATACTCGCAGGATGGTGTTCTTCACAAGGTTCTAGCCAGGAGAGAAGTCATACTTGCGGCTGGCACCTTCAATACACCACAGATCTTGGAGCTCTCGGGGATTGGTAATCCCAGTGTCTTTGCGGAGCACAATATCGACACTATCTACGCGAATCCAGCCGTTGGTGAAAACTTGCAAGACCACATACGAGCGGGTCTTTCTTTCGAGGTCAATGACGGCATCCCGAGACGTGTCCCAGTCCCTACGAAGGAGGAACGTAGGCAGTACGATGAGAACCGATCTGGACCTTTGGGAGAAAACGGCGCCTACATGTTTTCTTACACGCCGCTTACACCTTTCTTCGACTCAAAGGAGCATGCAGAATTGAAGAGTCTGCTTGACCACCATCTAATCGATGACGGAAGTTGGTCGCCAATCGAACGCAAGCGCAACAATCTCATCCGCAATGCTATTGAATCCGCCAATGAAGCAACAGCCGTAACATTCCTTTCGCGAGCGCCGTGGAACGATGGAGAGGATGGCAACTTTGTCTCTTTGAACTCTATGTTGTCTCATCCTTTCTCCGTCGGCAGCGTCCATATCACCTCTGCTGATCCTCACACGAAGCCCAAGATTGATTTCAACTACCACTCGCACCCGCTTGACGTGGAGATACATGCTCGACATATGCAAGTGCTAGACAGGCTGGCAAAGACAGAACCATTGGCATCATACGTTGTACCTGAGGGCAGAAGACTTCCGAGAGAATACCAAGCGGATACGATCGACGATTACAAAGAGGTGGTGCGAGCCTATGCAAAGACGAATTATCATCCATGCGGTACATGCTCTCTGGGGACTGTGGTGGACGGTCGTTTGAACGTGAAAGGCGTACGAAATCTCAGAATTGTCGATGCGAGTATCATGCCTATCATACCAAGAGGGAATATCATAGCGACGGTTTATGCAGTTGCTGAGCGTGCTGCCGATCTCATTAGCGAGGATCTTGGCTTGGATAGACATACATAGAGGCAGAGTGTAGATCATATCTGTATTGATCCTTGAGCTCTTAGAGAACCATGACGCGACTAAGCATCTTCTACGTGTCCGCGGCAGGTTGCATATGTAGGATTACATGATACAATGACATCTGAGCCTGAGCATCTTATACACATATTGGAGAACAAAACACGCTGCTAGTATTGGCCTCGAAGAGTTGAGGCATGGAAAAGGCACCCAGTCTCGTATTTGCTCCTCGCTGTGTAACTGGATAATGCCCCAACTTGATCACAACAAGCAAGAGGCAGGATGGAGATAGCCGTGTTTTATGGATATTCTTGATTGCGGGACGATTATCGAGACATAACACAAAGACTGAACAGAACTCGACAAAGATTTCCCACATCGATCTCTATGGCCTCCAGAAAGTGATCCATAATTGACCTCGATCGTGGATCTACGCATCGACCTTTTGCCTGCTTCAACTGCATCACTGATCGTTTTGTTGTCTACGCCGTCGAGCCACTTCTTCAACGCGGCTGCGTTATCAGAGATGGAGACCTTGGTCGTTTCAGCAGGAAGTACATGAGAGCACTCGGTCAAATTGTTGATGTTGTTGACACCAAGAAGTGAGAGACGAATGTACTCTCTTGCATAGTCCTTGNNTCGAATGTTAGTAAAAATCTTGGTCAGAGAAAGAAATTGAGAAAGCAACCGAACCTGGTTCCAATGTTCCTGGTCGTTTGCGAACTTGATCCACTCAGGTCGAGCATCGGGATGCTGGGAGATGACTACATCGCTGGGGAATTTGAAGACACGTTTGGGGGCTGTGTTCATGGTCTCATTGTAAAACTTCACGTCCCAGACACCAGGAGTACTGTCCTGAGGGTCGCCATCTCGTGAGACGTCGACGAAATGCTGCTGACTGGTCGTATGAGCGCCAAGCAGAGCAACCAAGCCGTGGGTGTTGATGGTTTTGGCCTTGAAAAGGGAAATCAAATCCTCGGCTTTTGCATTGACGTTGGGCAAGAGATGAAGTGCAGGTCGACTGCTGTCGACTCTACCAACGAAACTTCTGACTCGTGGTCCGAGAGGACAAACTACAGCAGCGACATTGGCACCCATTTGAATGAGATCAGCCATACCAACACCGTATGGATGGTACTTGTCGTACCACTTGTTCATGACTCCAGCAATAAGCTGTAGGCCTCGATTTTCATTCCTGTCGATCTCGGGCTCCAGTCCAGCGCGACCGCTCAGCAGGATGCTGCCGTCCGCACCACCAAAGTCTTCGGTGAACTTGCTCCAAGTCCCTGCATCGTGGAAGCCCAGACGAACGGCTCCTCGTGCTTCGGCAGTGCAGCGACCGCTAGGACCACGGAACACCTTTTCCATATCCAACGCGATGTGTCGCCATACACAACAGGTATCCGCCTGGCATTTTGCCGATCCTGGGTTCGAAAGTCCTCCTTTCCACATTTGACTGCTCTCTGGATCTCCGGACCCTGTGAGGATGTTGGCGATATTCTGTCCAACAACGCTTCTGGGGCCACCGAACTCAGGTCGCAAGTCCCCAATCAGTTCAGTAGAGTCATGCTGGCCGTCAGTAGCTTGACGGGCTTTGATCTCGGTAAAGACCTCGGCGAATCTAGAAGAGCCGCCGGGGTACGCTTGAATTGTGGTGAGAAGGGTCAAGATAGAGAAGCAAGTCTTCAAGATCATGTTGGTGTTCAGGTCGAGTCAATAGAGGATGGGTAGATGAGATGATTGAGCTTGCGATTTGGAGAGTGTTGAAGAAGAGGTCACACTGTCATATAAATATAGACTGACTCTTCCAGGCCAGAAGCTTGGTCCAAGGTACAAAGCTTGTGAACATGGGGCCTAGGAATGAATTCCTCCGTCGCATGGCGAGAAAGCTTCCGCAAGTCACCTCTCAGCGTGGCATGATATTTGATGCGCTCAGAAGATCACAGTCCGTGTAATAGCCACGACGTGTTTTGTTCGACATGTCTCTCAGCTCTCACAGTCTCGCCAAGACATTGTCGCAGAAGCTGAGCGGCACGTTTGAGCGAAAGGCTCAGCCACGGACTGTCAGTCGGTGGCGTACAATACTGCGGGGACCCGCATGTGACCTTCTGAAGAGTTTGTGTAGGTTTACCACGGCGCAATTGAAGTCTTGACGACTTGACAAGAGCAGTAACAGACGGGTCTTTACCAAAGTTCAGACTGAACGTACACCACCAGTAGATCAGTCTGGCCCCAAGCCTGGATCCTATGGAAAAGAATGTTACAATAATAGAAGATCTGCGAACACGCGTATCTGGGTATTGCATCTGATCTGCTTGTCGATCATCCATGGTTCGATATCCACTCCTTGATGCCTGTGTTCATGATCTGAGCAATCAGGCTAACAATGGTTTACTTGGCCATGTCCTTTAATGTGGCCGGCCTTCCATCGATGGATGGCTCAGATCCGGCCAGACAAAATGCAAAAGGTAATCATTGACACAACGACACTCAGAAAAATCATCCAATTCCAGCCTACATAGATTTGTCGAGCCTGCTCAAGACCGATCAACATTTGCATGTACCAACACAGGATGCGTCTAGAGCTTGCTCTTTCCATCCGCGTCTGACGACAGTCCACAATCAATGATTGTTCCTATCTCTCTCAAAGCACCACATACTTCACAAGCAGCGACACCACCCAGGTATTTGTTTCCACTGTCAGAAACAGTTCGAGTAAGGCAGTGGCAATCACCACAGTACATGAAACAGTAAGTAAGTTCATTGTCCGAAAGCGAAAGGGAGGAAATATCGAGATTGTTCGGAGAACACCCCGCCCGAGACGCCTCTTGATGCGCACTATGGCTTTCTTGCTGATAAGGAATCAGTTTGTCGGGAAGGACCACCTCTTCCTCTGTAGCGCTTCGTGCTCAGCGTATGTAGATAAGATAAGGATCATCCTGATTGTCACTCACCGAGCGTGGGCAATGTGGCAGACGCTTTTGCGGCACTTCTAGCAAGGAAGGCATTTAAGGAGATGTAGGTTGATCTTGTGCGTCGATGGTGCTTCGCTCCAGAGCGTACGTAGTGTTCGGAGAAACTGGGAAGACGGTCTGACTTGTTGACGTGGACGTTCGACATCGTGAACACGAGGTTGAGTTGCTGGTCTGCGTTTGGGGCTTTACAGAGTCTGAAGAGCTGTTTTGCAATAACACTTTCTGGGTTCGCAGGCCGATATATCTTGTGCTTCACACAAAGGAAACTATCTCAGATGCCACTCTTGCTCTACGAATTGTGTTCACATGAAACCGATCTCGATCCCTGGTCCCAACGTCAGGCCACAATGAGCATCAGCCTGGCAGCTGTATACTCAGCGCCACATTAGTGACCCGAGTATCATGAAGCTTTCACATGCTTGATCGTTTGCCCCCTACGATAGCGTGACAGTGACAGCAGCGGATGCCAAGGGGAACCGTTGGATCAAGGTGGGGTAATACAAGCTCATTGCTACGTGTCACGGTGGCTTGCCCTAACCCGACAATGCCGCATGCGAAGGACAAATACCGGAACGACAAGGCCCGTTGAACCACGTTCATGCGTGCAACAAACTTCGATAGCCGGACACCCGTGGCTGTGAGCAATGGTTTCACCGGTTCCGGCTGAAGTAAGATAGAACTCTGATCTTGCGCAGACTTGCAGATCTCTATTTCGCCAAGAATACCTTTGCTGTCAACAGACGCATGGATGATACCAAAGTACGTTCCAATGTCTCTGATGACGGATTCAAGTGCAGGTCAGTCTGGAACACATTTACGTTCTTTGTTACAGTCTGTACCTGATTGATCACCCCACCAATGACCCGACAACCCGAAAAAGGTAAACAGTTCGTGGCATTGTGAAAAATCCATGCAACTATGGTGAGGTCAGATTGACCTGTACCATGACCTGCGCACTGATTGTGCAGCCGTGCGTGTCTCTCTGGCATGACTTTCGAGACCACACTTCCACAGCTGCACCCACGCTTTCACTTTCACCAATCATAGATGGCCCGTCGCGTGCGTGCAAGGTCCATGACTGGACAGTCTCTACACTCGGCAAGTTTCTGCAGCTCTTCAATCCGGAAGACGAGGTCATGGTTTTCTGCTCTGAGATTATGCAGGAGGGACCACGATCTCCGCAGGTGCTTGGTCGCAGCGTCGACAAGCTGAGCTTTTGTCGGTTTCGCGGGTTTCCATAGCTTCTCCACCTCACATATGCACAGCACCCGACGAAGAGTCTCACTCAGACGATCAAATTGTTCGTAGAGCTTTGCCCGGTACTTTTGCTGTTTCGCCGTGTGCCTGGTTGTAGGTCGTGCTGTTGGTAGGGTTGTTTGAGGAGCGTCGTCGTCAGGAGAAGCCCCCGGCATGGCGATGCTTGGTGTCGCTTGATTGTACAGCACCAGCTCGTCGGGGCAGATATCGGGAAGAGGCTCCATTGACACATCCCAGAAAACGTGGTGCTCCATGGAACGTGGAAGACTGTGCTAGAATGAATCAGAGATGGCAAGGCTCGTTGATTCTCGAGGGAATGAGGTTGCTTCTGCCTCAGGACTGCTCCATGTCCGACAAAGCTCTAAACCATATATTTAAATTGGTTACAGACCGCCATTCTGGGAAAATGATCATCAACATCATTCATGCACAGATTCTGCATCTTCTGCCGAGATCCTGGTTTGTCAGAAGCCTCAATAGTCCGTGCGCCGTACTCATATATCAATCTCGCTTGACAGATATGCACTCACCACAGCCATCCGTCGCCTAGTACCACTGTTCAACCCACCGAAAGTTTTTGGGCTTGCAGCATGCAGGAAGCCACCGGTTTTGAATCGTCGAGCTGGACAGTTAGAACTTGTGTGCTTCGCTCCAATCTCGAACTTTGAACATCAACTCATCCTCTGGGTCGCAGCACATCGTCTCTAAACCATGTCCACCGTCTGTCAAGAACATCAACCCACTCCCCGCACCTCTGAACAACGCTACCGAGACAACATCAGAACGCATATCGATCGTCTTTCCCGTGTGTTAGACGAGGTCAGTGATGAGAAGCCGCCCCATATCATGCAAAAGGTGGAGACGGAGCAAAGCAACCGCTCTGTGCATCACCACACAGATGTTATCCTCTCTGCACACAGCCATCGAGACCGAACTAGAGCGTCGTGATAGCCTTCGCGAGCGTCTCGAAAGCGTCGGTAGACAAGTGCAATATGACTCTTGTCCGGTGGCCCACCCCTTGGCCGGGACAACTCGCCCACATCCACCAGCGATCCGCCAGACGCCAACGGCTACTGGAGCCAAACCATCCACTCAAAGTCTTGTCGCAGCCAAGGATCTCATGATCGCACATGCCGACGGTGACAACTCAAGTCAAGACTGGCATGTCGGAAACAGTTTTGTTGCGGGCCAAAGCTGTATCGCTCTTCCAGGGCAGTAAGGAAGTGGGAGTTTGAGCACGTGTTCTGTCTTGGTTACCTGCCGGCCGATTTCTGTTCCTTTCGCTTTTTCCTTCTGATTGTTCATCTGCTTGTCAGGTACTTTGCTTTGCAATGAAAGAGAGTGTTATACGAAGTCGTTGTCCGTTCAGTACTTACCGAATCCATCGCAAATATGACTTTGTAACTCAAACGATGATACTGTAGAATACATCATAGGGTCTCGGACGTTTAGGTTTCGACGTTATGGATCGATTGCAAACCGGGCATTTGTTGATTCCGGCATCCAGCATTTGGCGGAAGCACTCTTCGTGATAGAGGTGTAAGCAAGACAGCGCAGAGACGGAGTCCGGGCCATGTATGGTATCTATACAGATTGCGCTGTGTCACAGATCAGTATCAGTCCGATTGCCCCATATGTCAGTATATCTACCACAGTGGGTCCGTGGGTACTCTTCCAGGATGGGCAGAGGAGTTTCGCCGAGACCAGTTTTCGAATGTTTCCAGAGGCACCATTGGTAGCGGACGTTTCTTTTGGCTGCAGGCCGACGACCTCCCAATCTGGCGCGCCTTTCGAGACGCCATTTGTTCCTGAAGAGTACACATCAATTGTCTGAACTATAGCTCGGTCGCCATTTGACTCACGCAATTACAACGATCATTAGAAGCAGAAAGACCCCGGGAATGACCGAAAGTATGGCACCCCAGATCATAGAACTCCGCTCTGCATTCTTGGTTTCACACAAGGAGCAATTTGTTGGGTTTGTCAGAGTAGAAGTAAAAGACATTACGACAGCTCAGATTTGCGTGTCTTGTTCATGGAGGGAGGGTGGTTATCATATACGCGAAGCATTTGACGTCCAGGTACCCTGGTGGCACGATCTTGATCACGTGGAAGTCCAACGACCATAGAAGTAGAAAGGATGTCACGTCAGCACGGATGGTAAAGGAACGGCCCCTGGAAGCCTTGTCAATCACGAGTATGGTAGCTCAAGGCATCGGACCAAACCTTGAGTGACTCGAACGTGCGTTGCCAAGGTCGAACGTGATTGAGAAGATCCTACAGTTGCGCACGTGCAGATCGCTTCCCGTGCGGACTTCAGGTCTTCGATGCATGCTGTTCTTGGTAGACCGTTGAGAATCTTCAGGCCCGGACACGGAGGAACAACAACCCAAACATGAATCTTGACAACTATCGTGAATACTTTTTGCGGCCGCGGCCAGAGCGTATAGATGCCGTGAAGTA